CAAACAAGAGATGAGATTGGATTTTGAGTTTGACTTCTCGGTGCTCTTTTGTCGACTTGCTAATTCTTGAATGCAGTACACTTGGATGTTTTTCCGACGCTGTTGCTACCACAGAGGGCTGCGCAGGCGCTTGGGCGCTTGCGGTCGTCCGCAGAATAGTGCAGTGATGCTGCGGCGTCATGCACAAGCGGCGCGATCGGGCACTTTGCGGATGCACCCCCACGGCGCGTCACCGTCCAGCACGTCAGGGTGCACCATCCACTTGAGGCGCGTCGGACGCGCGTCGACAATGTAAGTACTGACAGCGCTTCGTCGAGTGTGTCAATGAGAAAAACGTCCAGTTTGCCTCCTCGAGCTCGTGGCAAATGACGTGGCAGCTGCAGGCGAGTTCATGGTCGTTTAGGGGATCCAATTGGCGTCAACCACGGCGTGAAAATCGAGGGTGTACTCGGTCGCGTCGGCGGCGGGACAGCCCAAGCTTCGACGTGCACTGCTGCGCAAGCTGCCCAAGGAGGCGTCGCTCGTGCGGAATGAGCGCCATAAGCTTTGCAAGAAACGGAACAAGCATCTCGCTTGCTGTGTCGAGAAAGCGAGGAAGGCGACGCATGTCGCTGGAGGCTGGCAGCGCGGTCGCCCACGCTGTCAGAAACGCAGAGAGCTTCTCGGGTGCGACAGGCGTGAGGACGTCCAGCGCGTCCAAGCTGGGTTGGACCAGCGTCCCGCGGGGTCGATCCATGCTGAAATGGCCCCAGAGGTCGGGAGCGTCCGAGCCATGGCCGCGACCCGCGACGCCAGTAGTCCCCGCAAGTCGGACACCAGGTGCGCTTTCAGGAAACGCAAGGTGCTCGTAGTCACTGCAGCGCCCCACGGAGCCCAGCACGCGCCGAGCTGGCGCTCGTTCCAGTCGCCGCCGACGTCAATGACCGTAAGAAGGTGTCCAAACACAATTGCGGAGCGTTGGAACGCTCATGCAGCTTCCCACCAAGTCACTGCAGGCTGACGTGTAGACTTGAAAGAACCTCGAGGATGTTGCGATCGTCGGCACGTAAAAGAAAGAGTGCTCCAATTCCCATCTGAACACCGTGCGTCGACGGCGGCAGCCCGATGGATGCGCGGTCTCTCTCCCTCCATCGGATTATAGCACACTCGTTGCTTTGTCAGCCGGCGTTCGAGCCAGCGATGCAGGATTTACATCTGCCTAGTATGTGTACTACTTTGCATTGCACCGTCTTGCATGTACTTGATGGACTTATCAGTAGCCAGCGAGTGCGATGTCGAGCGCACTGCGGTTGCCATCGTCAAAGAGGACGTTTTGGATGTTGCACGCAAGCCCTTCAAAGCCGTCAAAGCACCGACATTGGCCGGATTGGTAGTAGCACACGCCGCGGCCCGAGCACTCGTTGTAGCAGAGGTTGCCAACGGCCCCCACCGCTCCGCCAGGCGCCGCAACACCGCCGCAGTTGGTTTCGTCCACTGCCGTCATGGGATCGTCACCACTCGGGCAGTGACCTAGTCACGACCATTGTCAACACATCAATGGCTCGCACGTCGCAGTACGCATCGAACAGTCGGCCCCAAACCACTCGGGTACGCGTGTTTGGCCGGCCTCCAGTCCGACCGGCCACGACGAGTCGCAGACGCAGCCGTAAATGCGCGTCGCATCCCACAGCTACATGAGGCGCTTGATGCGATGCAAGTCATGGCATTTCGTACCGAGTACGTAGTGGCACTCGCGACCGGCACAGCAGTCGTCAGCGTCGCCATCTCTTGCAGACTCAAGCAGGCGCCGTGCCCCGAGCAGTCGTTGGGACACGACACTAGAGCCCACACGTCTTATCTCACACATTGTGTGCGTGTTTGTGTACGTACTGCGATCACAAGCGCTGCCCGTGTAGCCGGGAAAGCAGTTGCATACACCGCTGGTGCGGTTGCACGAGCCTTGGTTGCTGCACTCGGCGAGCGTTGTGTGGGCGACGGTTGGCGCCGTGGGGACGTCGTTCCAAGCGAGCCCCGACGGACATGTTCCTACATCACAAGCACCCGTCAACACCACAAACACGTGTACTGGAGGTACTACGTCGCGAGCAGTCGGGGGCTCCGCCGATCGAGATGTCGGTCGGGGCGCCCCACCCTGCGTTGCAAATGCACTTGGAGCTCATGAGCGTGCAGTCGCCATGTCCGCTGCATTCGTTCAGAAAGTAGCAGCCGACGCCGCCAATGTTGGCCGCGTCTTCAATGACGTTGCCGTCGCTGTCTTGGGTCACGATCATGTACGTGCCGATTGTGTTGAGCGGTGGGGTCGTGACGCCCGAGAGCGTGACTTGGATGCCAAGCATCGGGGCGACGGCGGTCGCACTCGTAATCGTCAGCGTCAAGCCCGCAATGGATGCTGTGCTTGCGGCGCTGAGGCCGACCCACCCCGAGAGCGTCCAGCCTGGGTCCGCAATCGCATACCCGGTCGGAAAGGTCACAAGAACCTTGCCGCCACTTGGGATGCGTAGCAGCGTATTAAAGAGGATCGTGGCCGACGTCAAAGTCGATGGCGTCGTCGCGAGCGTCCGGACGCGGCCAAAGTACAAGTGCGACTTGATGATCGCACTCCCGGGCACCGATATGGACTCATAGACGTTCTGCGCTGCGTCCAGCGTCGAGACCGTGTACGACTCCCACGGCACCAAGCCACCCGTTCGGGGTAGTACGCGTTGCAGGACGAACCCGGGGTGGTGATGCCGTTGAGCGTAAAGCCGTACGTGCCTGGCGCCAACGCAAACGCGCCGAATCGTGATCGTGGCCTAGTGGACGATATCATCGTGATTGGAAGACAGCTATGGC